TCTTTAGGAGTGACAAGAATGGACAGGATCAGGAATGAGGTCATTAGAGGGACAACACAGACAGGAAGGTTAGGAGAAAAAGCTAGAGAAGCCAGATTGAGATGGTTTGGACATGTGCAGAGGAGGGACAGTGGATGCATTGGTAGAAACATGTTAGAGATGGAGCTACCAGGTAGGAGACAAAGAGGAGATATATGGATGCAGTGAGGGAGGACATGCAGATGGTTGGAGTCGGAGTAGAAGATGCAGAGAACAGGGTGAAACGGAAAACGATGATTGGCTGCGGCAACCCCTTAAAAAGGGACAAAGCCGAAAGAAAAAAAAGAAGGATGTGGTTTTAGTATCTTTGAAGGAAAAAGACACATTTCTAACAAGAGTTAGACACTTTACAGTAGCAATAGCAATAACACTACTGTTATTGCACCAACATCTACTGCAACAAAATTCAGTAGATCCTGACATCCATTAGATTTTTACGTCTGCATGACCCCCTCCTACAAACCCCAGATACGGCTCCTTTCACTTGGAGTGTGAGCAGTGAACAACTCCGCACTTTAAGCAATGCATACTACAAAACATTTGTGGTGAGTTTTTGGGGGGTTTTTTTTCTCTCTGAGTCAAACCGTGCTTGCCAAAGACTAGCTCAAGTTACAAAAACACTATGCTAAAGACACGGAGAACGTCACAGAGAACGACAAGCATTTGGAAACAATTAAAGTCAAAGTCAAACACGGCTTCGTAACAGCTCTCGCCAAAAATACAGTGTCTTAGCAACGGCGTGAGTAAAGAGAGTGAAGCGGTGGTTGGCGGCATACTTTTTTTTTAACGTCATTTTTTTTTTTTTTTTTATTTTTTTTAACGTCATTTTTTTTGTTTTTTTGTTTGTTGCTTCCAGCATGTTACATTAGTTGTTCATCAGCTGAGCAGCGAGAGAGAAACGGCTGCTTGAATCACACAGTTCTATAGAGTATATACGTACATATAAAGAGAGAGAGAGAGAGAGAGACCCCGACTATTCATTTGTGTGCTCTCTGGTGGACATTGGATTTTGTTTGATATTCTTTAAACCATTAAAGCTAGCCTGGGGCTGGGACCATAGAACACAAAGTAGACCGAATGAAGTGGAACAGTGCAAACACAGTAAGTAAGTATATTTTGAAAAGCGTAGTTATGAGTCTGAATTTGAATAAAAGCAAATAAGTCACTGTTGAAGATATCCAGTGGGAGTGAGTTCTAGTGTTTTTTTTGCTGAGTAGCTGAGTAGCTGAAGACTCCGATACCCATGGTACTGTATGTTGGCAGGTGGAGGGAGGAGGTGAATAGAGAGGGAGGTTCTGAGGAAGAGGAAGGAGGCAGCAATACGGAGGGGGTCTGACAGATAATGAGGGGTGAGGTTATGGATGGCCATTGAAGGTGTGCAGGAGGATTTTGAAATGGGTACAGAATTGAACCTAGAACCCGAAACTTGCTGTAGTGCAGGGGTGATGTAATTAAACATTCTGGACCATTTAAAGCATATGAACAGAAGCGTGAGGGAGGCCAAAATGAAGAGAGTTAGAAAACAATCAATGCAGGAGATAACCTATATAGGTTGTTATGGGCATGATGTTTAACCCTTTGATGCATGACCCGTGATATACTGAGTTAAAAAAATGTTACTAAGTGTTTTTTATGTGTTTTTAGACATAAAAATAAGAACTGATTTGGTTCTGTTTTTGTACACCAAATTTTCTTTTTTGAATGTTGACACAATTACTCTGCAGTTGCAAAGGCTGACCACTGTACGGCAGTGTTGGGTGATTCTCAGGCGTCCACTGTAGAGGCTTAGATGCAACACTGCCATCAAAACCTATTCTTATCATAGAAAATGACATTTTATGACATTTTCATAGCTGTCCACTGTAGTGACCGTCATGCATGAAAGGGTTAAAGACTGTGTACACACATAGACTTGGCATGCGTCCTTTTCCGCCAGTTCAGATGTATTTAAAAATTAAATGAGCATGGAAATGCTGTTGTCCCTTTGGAAACACTTAGAGGTGATGCCGGGAAATGCTGCTAATAATAATAAAAAAAAAAGGAGTCACCAGAATGATGTGCATATCAGAGACACACGTTATGAACAATAAACACACACATGTTCGCAATTATATGGGTGCCCAAAGTGGTGAAGATATGGGTATTAACAATGGCAGCGTTAGCGTTGTTAGAAGACCTTGCAAATGGTGCAACAAGACAGAGCGGCGAGTATTCAGGATTTCTTTCGTTTACCAAAACCAGTGTTACTAGACTCGGGGTTGTCGGTTCCCTCGCAGGTGCTAACCATGCTGAGGTTCCAGCCATGCCAGCTGTGCAGGACAGTCATTTGAAGAATCCCAAAACAAATATATAAATGAAAATATGTAAAAACACAACGAAAAAAAAAAAAAGCAACATACACGTTGCGCTGCATTTCCTGCTTTAACACTTTATCCCACTGCTGCTGCAGCGTTTAGTCTCTCTCAGCAACTGCACTCATCTCTTTTCGCCCATCCCCATCCTCCTCAATGCCAACATTTCTGCACATGGTGCAGCCGACCAATCACATGTGGCTTAAACAGAAAAAAAAAAAAGAAAAAAAAAGCAGCTACAGCATGATCCTAGTCTATCCTTGCATGTGATTGGCCGGATGGTGTGCCTATCAAAGTAACGTCCCACCCTAGCCTGCATGGATTCCCAACAAAGTTGAGCAGGAGTCGCTGATGGAGAGAATCAGCTCTTGTCCTCAAACAACTTATGACTATGTTCTACTATTGACGTTTAACTGCAAATTCAACTTTTCTAGCCTTAAATTGAATTGCCGACAAATGTCTCGTCACATACAATATTTACAACCAGCAATGCAACCAAATTTTATGTACTATAGATAAATGACATCGCTAAAAATATGTACTTTTAACAACCGCAGTTGTTAAGTGTTCAAGTGACACCAGGGAAACAATCCGGGGCCTGTGACAAAAACGGACAAAGTGGCGTGTAGTTTAACTCGAAAAACATGAAAAATATACAAAATATCAGTGCTAAACCCAAATGCTGTCTAAACTAGCCTGCGGTTTTTGCGACATCTGTTTTAAATGCTCGTCCCGTGCCTGGCGATCTAAACTCTCGGGTTATACTTGCCTATTTTTAATCATTACCTTATCTACGATTTCTACGAGTGAGTTTGTGGGGAAATCATTAGGCTCAAAGAGAACCCAATGTCGTCTCCCCTTTTAGAGAGACACTGTTGTTTTCTAAAGGATTGTTCCAAAAGCGAGGGCAGAGAGTCTTTTCAGTCAGGACTGCCGTAGTGGAAACAGAGTGTGGAAGGTGAGGCCCCATGAGGGGGGAAGCTTGACAAAAGACAACACCTGGAAACCTTCACTTAGCCTGTTTATTAACTTAGTTGCGCACTCTGAAGCTGACACAATGTATTTAAATGATTAAGAAATAAAACGTTATAGCATAATCACACAAGTTTTTTTTTTTTAATTATTTATTATTCCTGTTTTCACAGCTACTAACGTTAAAAACTGAGGAATTCCAGATTCAGCGTAACTCTCTTTTTCTTCAATGAAGGCACACTTGGAATCACTATTTTACTCCACAGCTTTTACTCCAGTGGCTCATGTGCTTTTTTTTTTTTTTTTTTTTTTACAAAGGGCCATGTAGCACAATGGAAAACACATGATGACTACAGCTGTATTCTATTACTGGCAGTGAGTGATATAATTTATTTGCTTGCTCACTGAAAATGAGCAATGGAAAAGAAAGAAAAGGAGGGAGGGGGGGGGGTTGGACTTGCTTTGCTCCTGCTCTATTGAGTAAGGACTGTAACACATCATATGCTGTGAACAATACAGGAGTGACCTGTTACAAACAAAATCTAAGTTTCTTAAAAATGCAGAGACTTTGCCTGTAAATTAGGCTGGAACTCGGTCTAAGAATATTTCTTGGGCCAGACATTGCTCTTGGATTAGAGTAAGTAAACATTTTCAAAAAAAAAGGTCTACAGATAAGATAAGATAAGATAAGATAAGATAAGATAAGATAAGATAAGATAAGATAAGATAAGATAAGATAAGATAAGATAAGATAAGATAAGATAAGATAAGATAAGATAAGATAAGATAAGATAAGATAAGATAAGATAAGATAAGATAAGATAAGATAAGATAAGATAAGATAAGATAAGATAAGATAAGATAAGATAAGATAAGATAAGATAAGATAAGATAAGATAAGATAAGATAAGATAAGATAAGATAAGATAAGATAAGATAAGATAAGATAAGATAAGATAAGATAAGATAAGATAAGATAAGATAAGATAAGATAAGATAAGATAAGATAAGATAAGATAAGATAAGATAAGATAAGATAAGATAAGATAAGATAAGATAAGATAAGATAAGATAAGATAAGATAAGATAAGATAAGATAAGATAAGATAAGATAAGATAAGATAAGATAAGATAAGATAAGATAAGATAAGATAAGATAAGATAAGATAAGATAAGATAAGATAAGATAAGATAAGATAAGATAAGATAAGATAAGATAAGATAAGATAAGATAAGATAAGATAAGATAAGATAAGATAAGATAAGATAAGATAAGATAAGATAAGATAAGATAAGATAAGATAAGATAAGATAAGATAAGATAAGATAAGATAAGATAAGATAAGATAAGATAAGATAAGATAAGATAAGATAAGATAAGATAAGATAAGATAAGATAAGATAAGATAAGATAAGATAAGATAAGATAAGATAAGATAAGATAAGATAAGATAAGATAAGATAAGATAAGATAAGATAAGATAAGATAAGATAAGATAAGATAAGATAAGATAAGATAAGATAAGATAAGATAAGACAAGAGAATACAAGACAAGACAAGATAAGATAAGATAAGATAAGATAAGACAAGACAAGACAAGACAAGATAAGACAAGACAATACAAGACAAGACAAGACAAGATACGATTTTATTCATCCCACACTATAGAGTGACTATTTGCAGCGAGGAATAAAGTGACTAAAGTCATAGTGCAGGTGGGAGAGAAGAAAATGAAATTAAAAAAATTAAAAAAAATTCACAGTGTGAACATGTACAGTAAGGGGCTTGGTTTAAGTCAAATATGAGTGGAACAATTTCAATGTTGTTTTTTTTTTTGTCCACTCACATCGAGTTTTGGCAATCGTGACTGCAGAAAGTCAGTTGCGACCCAACAAAATACTTTTTGTTTGACTTTTGACATGTCCCTGTCCCTGTGCTCTAGTATAAAACTGATTGTATTTTATCGATGGCTGTAATGCGAAGGATGTGATGTGGTTTTGCTACGTCGCCTTTTTTTCCCATTTATTGCAAACCCTTTTCTGCCTTTAATTGCACTGACTTTGGAAAACAGCTACACAAGAATGCAACTGAAAAACAGTTTAAAATGTATGAAATGAACGAGTCTGAAAACAAAATATGCGCGTGTGTGTGTGTCCTGTTCGTTTTGGGTTCGACGGGGGGTGCGGAAATTTTCGAATAAACCAAAGGGGGGTCCCAGCAGAAAAGGTTTGGGAACCACAGACTCGGGCATTGGCTGTAAATATCACTCGCTCTAACTTCACACTTAACAAGCAATTCGGTTGTCAACGCTTACGCATGACGCACACACCCAGGCGGAAGAAGAAGTAGTCCCACCAACCGAGCGTCACTTGCACAACATCTCAATAATTTGGATACTTTTCACCGTGTTTCTGTTTAGGATACACCTCATCTCAGAATGCGTAAGTATCAAAAGTATCGATATTTGGATTTCAGAATCGATTTCAGAGCATAAAGATCCAGAATCGGAAGTATCGATATTTCAGGATCGATCCGCACATCACTATCAATCATCGGCTGCGCCGTAACAGTCATCGTCACCTTCCTTCATCATCATTTTACTGCGCATAAATATGGTGTCACTACTTCGCGGAACTTCAGTTCTCGCGGCAGGCCTCGGAACCTATCTACTGCGATAGACGAGGGACCGTTGTACTTCCAGTGTACATTTTCATCTAGAATAGAATGAGAAAATGGGGCTACTAAATGCGGCTTTACTAAAAACAAATTGTGTTTCTGAAGGGGGAAAACGTTAACCAAATAGTTCTTAAATGAAGTGTTGGAATTAAAAATGTATCGCATGCCTTTTTTTCCTAAATGTTTGTGTAACCAGAAATAAAGTTTGTGGTTTGTGACTGTTTCGAGTGGATTTACACAGTACTCCGTTCATCTTTGTAAACAAACTCTGCACAGACATTCCACAACACATGTCCAGATTTTACACGCCAGGTCCATGACCTTGTTGAGGGAAAAAAACACAAACTGTCATGAAGAAAAAGAAAGAATAACCAGAACTTTGCTCACAAAAATTGAAATCAAATCGACCCATAACATGGGATTTCAATAATGACCAAAGTAATGTGGTTATTATTTTTAAATATTTTTACTTTTTTTTTTTTTTTTTTTTCTCTATAATCTAGTGGGCCACTCTTGTCTTGAAGCCCTGGTTGACTTGGATGACTGATATCCTGCTTTAAGTACACAGGGAATAAACTAATTAAAATAAGTGAAATCAAAATGAAATGGAAAAATTAAATCATCTTTCATGTTTACTCTTTTTACCTTCTTGGTATTTTTAACTCATTCCTTTATACCTTTTATCCCTTCATACCATTCATCAATTTATAAATTGATGAATGGATTTTAATGGATTAGGTCTCGGGAGCCAATGAATGAAACGACAAATGTTTTATTCATTTCCTAAACACATCTCAAAAAAACGTCGATTAACGATTGAAAACATATTTAGAAACACTTACCTGCAGATGCCACGCAAAATAACACATGAAGCAACGGTAGGGCAGAAAACGGTGACGACATTTCTGTTATTATTCTTCAGGTTCCAGACTGAGGAAAAGTGTATTCTCTGGCCTTGCAGCAAAAACCTTTTCTTAATGACGTACTCTTCTACGGACTGTCGGCTTGTGGGTCCAGCTGCGAAGTGAACAGAATGAATAAAGTCAGTGTATGCTAAATTTAAAAATTGCACCAAACAAAATAAATCCAGGTGATAAATGACGAGTTCAGGTGTACTATTAGATCAATGCTTCGCAAATACTCATGTGACAAAGTGTGGAATTGTTGACTTGGAGATACTAGGAAACATGTCAAGGGTTATTAGAACACACTCAATTGATGTCAACAGGAAATGCTGAGTGATTTAATAGTACACATATTATTCAATTATCATTAGGTTCAAAAAGTCCTCGGTTTATGGCATCCTATGGCATTTCCCATATTTTTATTAAAAAAAGTCTTGTTCCGTCATTCCAACGTATGGTGTTAAAACAAATTTTTGCAACGCAAAAGATGACTTTGTTTACATTAGCCAGTCAGTTGTGAGCTATACATTGAAATGTGCTACATTTGCTTTTTTTTTTTTTTTTTTTGTGCGTGTAGTTTTTTTGGGACTTCCCAAGCATAAGTCAGACTCGGGATATGACTCATAACTCATAACAAATTTTTCATGTCCTACATCATAATGTCACCACTGTGTTAGCTCGGTGCATGACACAGGTACTTATGTACAGTTACTGACTTACTGCAAGGGATTATGTTGCGCTGTAGGATCAAAATTCAATTCAAAAAGGACCCCCTGTATTGTATATGTATTTAATATAAAACTTTGCAAATCAAGTCAAACACAATTCAAACATTCAAACAAAGTAAAGAACAATACATTAGCTTAGTTGAATGTCAGTTAATTTTTTTTTCTTTCACACAACCATCTGTCCTTGTCCTAATCTTTTATGTAAATACAATAAGGAGGCAGCTAATTATTGATAACTTCAATCAATTTTCCAAACACAATTTTGTCTTCCTAGAACTCCGAGGGATGCCTTTCACACCGGACAACAACCTGCCTCTGTGCTTCATCTAAGGACTGTTCTTTCAGTTATGCTATTTCAGTAATTCGAAACGGACCAAGATGAAAAACCCTGTTGCAAAGCTTAAATTTATCTAGTTTAAATTTTGATGTGATTTGATATATTGACTACAGAACTTCAGTCAAGGCAGTTCAAGACCTCTCAGAAATGTTTTAACATATTTTAGTTAACAAACTTGGAGCACTTCACAACATAAAAGTTGAGTTGAAGAAGCCCCAGATAAGCAGTGAAGGCTCTTGAAGTAAAAAATTGAAATGACAAAAATGTAAATTACCTGGATGAGAACCATTATTATCACATGTATGACAGGAACAAGCATAGTTTGTTATGTTTATGTTATTTAAATTTCTTTATTCTGTGGGTTGGTAGCTTTTTTTTTTTTTTTTGCTCATCACTGGACCCCATTTATTATCTGCACAGAAATTTGTTTTCTGTTCTGGAAATTGTTTATCAGTAATGCTCTGAGGCCATGTGCAAGATATGGAAAGATACATACAACAGACACGGTTAGAAAATTAAAACAATGAAAACCCCATCGTGTCAAAAAAACGACACGATGCCTAATGTCAGAAACGTCTGGAACGTGTAGTTAAAGTAAATGTATGTTTAAAGTAGGGATGCACCGAATATTCGGCCACGGAAGATTTTTTTTTTTTGGCCCAAAAGTGCATTTTCATACACTTTTACTACTGAAACAAAATGGCCGAAACAGGAAGTTATGATGATATGGCTTGTCTGAAAGTGCCAACATGTCTGCGGGGTGGACGCATTTCAATATATCTGAGAATGGCCCACAGATAGAGTTTGCAAAACTTGTCATCCTTACATTTTAAACATTTCAATCTTCATCAAAGAATTTCTCCCCGTCGGGTTTTATTTATCACCAGAAATCCAAACATCCCGATCGCTATGCTCATTAGGAGAGGAAGGAGGTCTTGCAGCGCAGACCAGGAGCTCCTCGACTATACATTCGCTTCACACCACTCGGTCTCAACAGAGAACATTCTCTCTCTTCTTGCCCCGTTTGAGCGGCTAACTAAAGAGACCAGCTCCTCTGATGCATCTGTAGCAGATGGTATTCCTTTAATCGATCCTTTAAAGATGGACCGTGGTACGACTGTACTGGATCCCCGTTGTAGGATCATTACTTGGATGCGGGAATAAAGCAGCGCGCACGAGAAATGATCCAGCAATTGAGTTAAATGCACTTTATGTTTTTATGAGAGAAGATACCTAATTTGACAATTTTTCAGCAGGCCAGTATACACATTTTGTAATTGTTTTATTCTTTTAAACATTAATATTAGTTTATGCAATTGTAGTGCTTTGATGGTACTAATAATTGGCATAATAATTTCTTTGTTATTGTTTCTGTGTTATGGTTTTCGGCCTCGGTTTTTTTTTGGGCTTTTTTTTCATTTTTGCTTTTTGGTTTTCGGCCAACAATTTTAATTTCGGTGCATCCCTGGGTTAGAAACATAAAACGCATGAAAAAACAGCTTTGAAGCAGTGGTATCTACAAGGGCTAAGAAGTCATTTTTGAAAACTGGTGGCAAATATTACACTTTCCTCAAGCGCAAAAGAGCAGGTGACCTCTGTATGATTTATGTCCCATTCTGACATTTATGTCTTGACAGACAGAAAAGTTAACTGCGTAAAATACATAAACCCAAACCCGGCCAGCAGACTGATACAAAAAAGGACTTACAGGGGAAAATAGATTTCAACGACCTCGTAACCTCTACAATGCCGAAGACATCGTCAGTGTGGCAGTATTTCACAATAATAGACATCGGAGAAAAACGTCTCGTATCAAGTTTCAACAGTTTGCATATTACAGCTCACCTACAAACATGGCACATCACCTAAAAACAGTAAGCGAACTTGCTAGGTTGCTCCATCCAATGTGAGTATAAGAACATCAACAATCATTTTATGACTCAGTCCCTCAGATACAGAGACCAGGCTGGATGTTAAGCATCCTCTATCATCCAAAATGACATCACAGAAGGAACTGCAGATTTTATTGCTCAGGATATGAAGCCCATCTGTGTCGAGAAGGGCCAGGGTTTTTAAGAACTTGTTTAAGAAAGTTTTTGGATCCTGGATATAGTGTTTTACAACAGAATACAATATACAGTACAATACTGTAATTAGCCTATTGCGTAATTGCGATGTGACTGCAAGGCTTTTTTGTTTTGAGCCTATGCTTTTTTTTTCTATCCTCGTCTTGATTAGGTTTTTTTATTTATTTATTTCAGTGCAAAATAATAAGGGCAAACCAATTTAACATTACGCAAATAAACTACTAGTCCTTACACTTATTTATAATTCATTTAGGTGGACAAGGCTACCAAACACGGAGCATTTTATACCCGCTTTGACACACCTGTGATTTTTGTCGAAATTGTAATTTAAGAAATACCGGACGTGAGTTACAAAGTCACTGACAATCAAAGCTTTTTCAACACCAAAGGGAGGTTGAAAAATCATTCTTTCCCCAAAAAACAAACAAGAGTCAAGGTCCTGATAACTTCTGCAACCTGGTAAAATCCTGTGCAAACAAGCTAAGCTGAGGCCTGGTAACAAAATCCTGTGCAAACAAGCTAAGCTGAATTTTCCAATATATCGCGAATCCATGAAAATGCAGCTTGTGACCTTGGATTGATTTTAGATCAATCGTATTGACAGCGATCGTTATGAACACCTTCGAGAAACTGGCGAAATCTGTAATCCTTAAGAACACTGAGCATGACTACGGTCCTACGCAATAGCCTAAAGGCCCAACAAAGGTGTTGAGGATGCCATAATCCAATCCCCATGTTTAACTATGAGGCTCCTAGAGCATGCCGTAGCAACGGAGAGGCCCTGAACCACTCTAGCGTATGCAGACGACACTGTTTTTATTTATTTATTCCAAGACGACACACCATAAGGAGCTGCACCAGCAATTCTTGGCCAATCAATCTAGAGTGCAAAGTAAAGTAAAAAACCATCAGCGCAACAGCAGTCCATTGCTCAGAGTTCTGTGAGCATGACTCCATGTGATAAGTTCTCTTTCAAAACGAAACACAGAAAAGACGTTAATTTTTACGGAATTATTTTTCTATTGCTGCTATTTTAACTACTACAAAATGGTGTTCTTAGCTAAGAACTTAATTAATTCAATTCATTTAATGTTATTATCTGTTTGGTTTTTTTTTTTTTTCTATTTACCCTACTATTCCAGTTATTTCATATTTCCTATTAGTCCTACGGGAGTTGACAATATTGCAATACTTTTTTTACACATTTGATTTATTTATGTTATTTATTTAAGCTCTTTTTCCCCTGAGATTATTTTATTTCAAGAGATATTTTTGGTGAGGGAAAATACATTTTAACGTATTTTTCTAATTGTAAATTGTCTAATTGTTAACACCTATCTATGACTTCAGGTAGCCGGCGGACTAATCTCTTTCAGCGCAAACATGAAGGCGTCACGATAATGAACTGCGCTTCGCAAATAATCAGTACGTGGGGATTCTGTTTGTCTTTGATGTACGATTATTGATTAAGGAATTATGTTCCCCTCCATGAAAAATTTGACGGTGATTGTCTTGAATATAATTACATGTAAACAAAAGAAAGATTTCATTCAGCAACAAAACATACAGACGTATAGTAATTGTAATTTATGTTACTATACATTAGCATAATGGTTTCAGAATAATTTAATTATGATATCATCATTATATTTGACGTCATAATCTTTACTGAATCATATGGTGAGGCACATGGGAATTCCCACTGCCACAAATTGGACTCGGTGACGTGAACGATAATGGTAACTTAACTAGCCATTACTAAAAAACAAAGTGTTGTTTTTCAAGTAAATGTAGCCACAACGTACAGACAGAAGAGGGTTATGTTATAAAAATGTTATTAAAAATTTTTTTTAAAAATTGCAATGCAGTTGAGTACAATAAAAGAACAATTTATTCCACTACCTCTTACACAGAGTGTGTACTCTAAACAGATAGTGTGCATTTTAAAATCCGGGACTACCATGTCAAATAAGAAATGAAAGTCGAATACAGTATATGAACTAAACAATCATTAAATTAAAAAAAATCCACATTCTTTGCTAGCACTCCTTAGCCCATTGTTTCCCAAAGACGCGGGTCGCGACCCTCAGGTGTGTCGAAGAAATTTTTTTTTTTTTTTTTTTTTTGTTTTTTTTCCGCTTATTTTTCCCTTTCCCTGGACTTCACGGTCATCGCAATAGCTAGATTGCATTCCCAAGTCTCACTTTACCAGAGCACAGACCTTCCCTGCGGTGTTTGAGCTGTTTCTGTCGACATGTTAGCATATATAACATTTAATGTCCAAATATGAACACCTTTTTTTGCTGGTTCAATTACTAGTTTTCCGTTGTTTAAACACCTGAGCAATACTAACTGCTATCAGATATCACCTTTATTTTGTGACTTACAAATAACGTCTATTGACTTGGGTCGCAATGGTTTGTGACTTTTAAAATATGGGTCCCAAGAAAAAAAAAATGTTCGGGAAACACTGTCTTAGCCTATCTATATGTGCCTGATAAGAGATAGAGAATGGAGGAAAGAGAGAGATAGAGACAAAGAGACTGGGAGAGAGAGAGAAATGTGATAATATGTAACAGATGTATTTGACAACAAAGTAACTAACATCATCCTTTAATGGAATGAGGTCAGTGTACCTTCAGTTTTAGAACAACGAAATGAAATGCATATCAATGCAAAGTTGCAAGTTCGGCAAAAATCACACAGTACTGCTCTACATTCACACGTTTTTGCCCGTCACCAATTCAGTAACACATTTTGACCCACATACTGATGCTCCGTCTTTATGTTGCTCTATTGTTCGACCACTCGCGTTAACCCGTTCACACAGTGAACTGGCATCCTAAAAACAAATGTCAACCGCAAAGTACACTGGCAGAGTTGTGTATCTGTCTATTCCGCTGCCTGTCCCCTTCATAACGCATGTCAACTAAGCTGTACATAAACGTGGTGTTTACTACTACTGACAACTAAGTACGTACTAGACGTTACCCTTAATAAATTAATACTTATCAGAGTTGTGGTCTGGTTTCTGCGTAAGCATCTGGTCTCGAAGATTCCCTGCAATCCACTACAGATACACATGTTAAGAATAGTTTTAAGGGCGGTGGAGACGTTTTGTACAACGTAAAAAAAAAGGTTTTCGTTTTAACCTCTTAACGCGTGATTATACCACAACAACTTTTCACATCTCCTAATCCCAGCGTTTAAAAAAGTAACGGACGTACCGTGAAGACCTGCCCCAAAACTGGAAGACAAACACGGTGGACGTTAAGCAGTCGCCCCGCTCCTCTGGATGAAGTAATCACGCTCCTCTCTTCTCCTTCACAGCATTTCGTTAAAAAGAAGGGAAAAAAAACAACAAAGCGTACACAAAACTCGGTGTAGTTTTACGTATTTAGGAGCAGCGTGTGAATAGACATACGCTGTCCTTAAATTTAACGCCGTTTACTACAACATGTTTCCGCTTCAGCTGAGAGCTTCGTGCGAGGGTGGGGCCTATAGGAAAGGGGCTAAAGTCGGTGTGTGATGGGCAGAAGAGGAGCGTCCCAAAACGGGAAGCCCAGGCTCCAGGATAGGTCGCTCTTCAGTGGAAAAAAAAAACTCCCCACAAACACATTTTAACAGGGGCACTTTAAATTTCCTTTGCAAATAATGTGTACGCTGACCACTAGTGGTGAAGGAGAGCATTGCAGGTGGTCTCAAAAGTTTTTCTAAAAAAAACACTTTTAGGTGTATTTGTTGCCGTTATTCCTAAACAATTTTTGAGTGATTGAGTGATCATTTTGAATCATTTTTATTATTATTATTTAATATAACAAACTAAACATTTTTTATTTAAAGTTTACTTTTAAAGTTAAATATAAGGTAAAAGAAATCTTGCTTGATAAATATTTTATCAATATTTGTTGCCGTTATTCCTAAACTATTTTTGAGTGATTGAGTGATAATTTTGAATCATTTTTATTATTATTAGTTTAATATAACAAACTAAACATTTTTTTTATTTAAAGTTTACTTTTAAAGTTAAATATAAGGTAAAAGAAATCTTGCTTGATAAATATTTTATCAAAGTATGATTTTAAAAATTGTATGTGTAGTAAAGTATCATAGTTTTTATTATTCTGCTATTTCAGCTCCGAAAGGAGTTCATTCCTGTGTGGGTCCACAGAGAGAAATTTTCTTGTGCTGAAAACATGATCACACACCCAAACATTACAACAATCTGTGTTCATGTAACCTGCTCAGATCTCCCTCCTTTTTACCTATTTTCACCACTACACCATAGATAGCAAATAGCACAGCACTACCAATAACATGACATATTAAAACAAACTGCAAAAATTCACCTTGGAATTTGTAATCAATTCGATTTCATTTTATCATTATAACGAAATATGTTCCAGATCTCCTGAATGTTAATTTCTGCTGCCTCTCTTCTTAACTATGGCAAAACATCTACCAGAGATGCGTCAGAAAGACCAAGAGATCTTTCTTCCAGGACACTGATGGATTTTACCTAATTGATCACTTCTTTCCTGAGCATGGAAATGGCCTTTACCATTTTTTTTTCACCCACAAAATGTGAGCCTTCCTCCACTTTCTCACCTCGATGAGAAGTTCCACACTTTCATTTTCAAACTTTCCCCTGTTTCTTCTTGTGGGTGTGGGGGTATGTAGTTTCTCTCTGACTTTTTTTGGCGTATTGATATTCTTTGTGTGACAGGGAGTGGTATGTTGTTAAGGTTTTTTTTACCAAGGGAACAGAAATGGGTAAAACTAAGAAGGGAAGGTCAACTTACTTAGAATATAAAAATCAAAATAAATCCAATGTGAGGTAAGTACATAAGGATACCGGGTTGAAACGGAGGAGGCAAAAAAATCCTATGATAAGTGACATTGCAAGTGTGCTGTTGACACAAACGTTTGACCTGGTCCCTCCATTGCCTCAGACTGACAAATTTGTTTTTTTTTCTCCTTCTAAAATAGTCCGAAATAAAGCAGAAGCCTCCTCTAAACGAAGTTAAAATGCCAATAGGCGCTCTTAGGTAAAATGTTTGTGATAAGAACATGATATAAAATCACCAACTGGTATGATTGTACATGTTTTGACAGCACTGAGTCTGTGTTTAAAAACATCATTCTTATCCAGTCTGTACCTTGCGTACTGCCCGACAGCTAAGGTTATCCTTCTCCGCACATCCACCAGATCATGAGACGATACCAACCCCTGAGTCTGTGTTTAAAAACATCATTCGTATCCAGTCTGGACCTTGCGTACCGCCCGACAGCTAAGGTTTATCCTTCTCCACACGTCCACCAGATCATGAGACGATACCAACCGCCTCAAGGAATGTTGGGATACAGGATGCGGCTCTAATCAGTTGTACAATCAAAAAAGAAAAATCTGCCCACAAATAAATACTCTTCCGTTATATATAGTGATTCCGTTATCACTATGTAAAAACGTCATCTACCTTGGCAAAAAAAAGTGTAATAAAGACCACACTGTAAGGTTCAAAATGAGCCCTAACCAATAGACACCTCTCCTCCACAACATGTTTGACCTCTACAATGGTTGGAGTAAAAATGTGTGAAAAAAAACATCACTGTGTGTCTCTTGCAAAAATAGAACGTCAATGTGTTTTCATTTTTGCAAGCTCATATATTAGCACCCTTTTCCTTTTGTTTCTCTGGCACCATTGACGGTCAGGCTTCCTATTCTAAAAATACACTGCCTGGCCAAAAAAAAAAAAAAAACGCCACCAAAAAAAAAGGGTCATACACTCTAATATTTCGTTGGAAATCCGCCTTTAGCTTTGATTACAGCGCGCATTCGCTGTGGCATTGTTTTTCGATAAGCTTCTGCAATGTGACAAGGTTGATTTCCATCCAGTGTTGCATTCATTTTTCGCCAAGATCTTGCATTGATGATGGTAGAGTCCGACCGCTGCGCAAAGCCTTCTCCAGCACATCCCAAAGATTCTCAATGGGGTTGAATCCAGCCTTTCACAATTGGCCACAATTCCTGTGTGAAAATGATGTCTCGTGCTCCCTGAATCCAGCCTTTCACAATTTGAGCCCGATGAATCCTGGCATTGTCATCTTGGAATATGTCCGTGCCATCGGGGAAGAAAAAAAAATCCATTGATGGAATAACCTGGTCATTCAGTATATTCAGGTAGTCAGCTGACCTCATTCTTTGAGCACATACCGTTGCTGAACCTAGACCTGCCCAACTGCAGCAACACTGCCCCCACAGGCTTGTAGGCAGTAGGCACTAGGCATGATGGGTTCATCACTTCACCTGCCTCTCTTCTTACCCTGATGCGCCCATCACGATGGGTCCCCACTATCCTTCCAGTTTTTAATAATGCGTTGGACGGTTCTTAACCCAATTTTAGTAGTTTCTGCAATCTCCTTAGATGTTTTTTCTCTGCTTGATGCATGCCAATGATTTGACCCTTCTCAAACAGACTAAGATCTTTTCCACGACCGCGGGATGCGTCTTTCGACATGGTTGTTTAGCAACTCATTGCACCAGTTGGGGTTAAATAACTTGTTGCCAGCTGAAAGATAATCGCCCATGCAGTAATTATCCAATAGGAGGCTCGTACCTATTTGCTTCGTTAAATCCAGGTGGCAACTCTTTTTTTTTTGGGCAGGCAGTGTACAATTCATGGTGATGATGGTAATAATAAAAAAAACAACATCTAGAACATCTCAAAACGAATCTGACAAAAGAATACATAAACCAAATGTTTATCCATCATTGCAAAGCAAGCAGTTTCCTGACTTTAATTCTAAATTCGTCTTTATTCCCTGTTTCACCTGACACTTCCTCTTTCTACCTCTAAGAAGAAGAAAAAAAGATTTGATTTTTTTTTTTTTAAATAACGCTTTATTAACAGGAGGCGTGAAAACTGTAAAGCACGAAACAATCAACAAATTAATTTAGGGGCAATGCAAAATGCAAAAGTTCACGCCCAGCCACCTGGAAGAGAAGATTTGATTGGTTAATGCAACAGAAGAAGAATGGCTACATGCGTATGGGCTTTTATCTTCACATTAAAGGAACAAAGACACCTGCTCAAAAACAAAGGATCAAAGCATAAGTTAGGGGGGAAAAACAAAGATTTTTGACATATCATATCTGTATATGTTCGTACATGTATAGACGTGTCTATATGTGTATATATATACACGTATATACTACATACGCTTATATACGGGTTTATGCGTGTATTTTTTTTACCTACATACCGTATAATTAAAAGAACAGCAAGACGACAACATCCTCTAAGGTAAGTTTATGCGTGTATTTTTTACCTACATACCAGCAAGACGACAACATCCTCTAAGGTAATTTTTGTGGACAGTCTACAGGAGGTGTCAAACTCTGCCTGGTCAATTCTTACGGGATTTTAATTTTGTGAAACTACTTTTCCGATGCACGTGAACACATCACAGCGAACCACGTTTTTAGTGCGCCATCCCCGCCCCTTTCTCCTGGCTTAACAACCTTAGTTCAAGAGACTGTCGAATCAGACGAAAACAAAAGCACTGAAGGTAACCCGGCGGGTTGCATAACTTTAAAAGAGTCACCCGTTGTCTTCGTTACTGTGATTGTGATAAATGTTTACAACACATTTGCTTGCTGTACGGTTGAACCCCCCCTCCAACCCCCCACTTTCAAAAGTGTATCAGCTACAGATTGGCAGGGCGTGAGCCGCTGTCAATCAAACGGCTAAAATTAGTGGTACGTTTAACCAATCATTTTTAATACCTGAAGGTGTGTGCTATAAAAACGAGGCGGTCTTGCGGTATCTTAGTTCTGCTGCTTAATGAAAAAAAAGTTGTGAATGGATGGGCTTGCAAAAAGGTAAACGCTTGCTCGGTGTGTACGATAAGAAACGTTAGGTCGAGTTTCCGACTGTTGGGACTGTTGCTAAAACACTCGAGGCGGTCGTTTGCGTTAGAAATTGAACGGGTTAATGAACTCCACCACCATTTTACGCTTGCCCCATGTAGTCACTTATTGAAACTTTGTGCATGTTTAAAAATTAATGAGTCTTTACGTGGAAACAAAAATGTTTAAATTCAGGTCACACCGTGCGATAAAAAGTGAGCGTTAACTAGCTCATGGGTTAACCGCTATGATCTTGTTCTGCTAGCGTAGAGAAAAAAAAATACTTGCGGAGTTTTTACACATCAGATTAATAATTTTCGGGTTGGGAACAAATATGTTGAAATACTTTAAACTGTCCATGGGATTTTTATTTACACACATTCGTAGCTTTGAATCATGAAACTACATACGTACCGCATAGTAAAGAATTGGCCAAGTCTGTTGTACAGATTAAACATAATAACAAGCTGCGTTCAGGCATTTACATGAAGAAAAACATTACACTATAGATATCGAGACTAGACGATATGTACAATATTGGTCTCACGAAATTGCGACGACATTTTAAGGCTCGTTAAAAAAAAAACATAGCAGTTTTGCCCAACTACAATTGTATTTTTTCCAGAATATAAGCACGAAAAATCATAAACCTTTCAAACATGAAAAAACAAACAAACAACTAAATTGGTTTTTTTTTTTCCTTGAAAAGCATTTTCAAAGCTTTTTAAGGATACAGACAGCTTAAAATGGCACTGGATATGCACCATAGTATTTTTCAGAAAGAATAGAATTTATTTGACGTCCATGTTTTTTTTTTGTTGTTGTTGTTTTTTTTAAAGCTACAAGCTACATTTTCCAGTAGGCTGTCCTCAAAAAGTGGGCAAGTCTGCATGACCACATTTTGCATTTCCCAGTTGACATTGATAGTGTGATATGTAATTGTGCTGACCGTTGCCATTGAAGCTCTGCTGTTATAGCAATGCTTTCTTCTCCCTTCAGTTTCCCTGTGTCCAGGATTTAGTGGTTCTGCAATTGCCATACGAGAAGCATGTCACCACAACAAAATGGTGCACGCTTTGGTTCCAAAATGGTGATAAGTTGCAAAACCCCACTTTTCTTCCACTTGGGCATTAAGTGCAAACATAGTTGTCAGTATTGTCTGCCTCCTTTGTGTTAACTTTTGCATGTGTCGCTTTAAGTAAAGAGCCTTGGGTGGCTTGCGTTAGTTGCCGCACGGGGATGTATTTACTATACGAAATATCGCCGTTCTCTGTAAAACTACTAAATGTTTACACAGAACTTCTACAGAGCAATAGCTCCAATTGCTGCCTTTCCTGACACAGGCACAATATTTTTAAAATGTCGCTAAATCTTGTAAAGAAACGTTACAGGGGTATAAAAAAAAACATTACAGGGAAGCTTATTAAAATGACAATTTGTGAGATGCAACAACACGGTCTAGCGAATCAATTGCGTAAAGGCTACATAAAAGGTGAATAATTCGAAAATTGCTGCTAGTTTGAAATTTTTTTTATTTGCCAAAATTAGATTTTTTACATTCCATTTCATCCATTAATATAACAAATGTATAGAGGAATGTATTTGGTAAACTAAAATGTTTTCTTAGGAACGTTGGTGTACTGCCATTCTTCAAATCCATTCTCAAAACCTTTCAGTTTCTCTGTGATTACGCTAATTTTTAACATGTCAATTTTTGAGCGCACTATGTGCTTGAGGGTTTAACAGGCACCTATAAATAAAATGTGTTTTTTATTTATTTTTATCAACAGTGCCAGATTTAGAAAAAACAATGACTAAAATCTGAAAGTCAAAATAATAGCATTGATTGGTTGGTTTAAGTCACCAGTGCAGCCTTTAAATCTTAAATGCGTATTCAAGTGCTCTTTTGGTTTGATTTTTCGATTGATTTTTTTTTTTAAGAATTGTAATTATGGTTGAATCAAAGTGTTTTTTATATATATATGTGTATATATAT